AAGTTTCAATTTCCCTTGGGTTCTTTATATTCACTTATCCCCAATTACCTTTAGAAAAGGTATGAATCCACGTCTTCTCCCTCCAACTATGGGTTAAATATTAGAACTTGTTAAATATTTAAGGATTAATTAGTAGGACTTGTATCAATAAATTGTTATTATTTCCCAAATTTCTTACAATCTAAAAATATTTCCTGGGTTTTAAATTACCTGCAAAAGGTTGATAAGCCGTAAAAAACAAGCCCATCAAACATTTTCTAGTATCCCAGAGTTCAAAGTGTTAAATTGACTTACCAGGTATGTTACAAGCCACTTGAGCTCTCCATACAACAGATGCATATCTTTTGCCTAAAAAATGAAGGAAACAATAATTAAATAATAATGATCTTTAATTTGATAATGATTTTTATTTGGTAATGATCTTTAAATTGATAGTGATCTTTAATTGTATAACATTGATCTTTAATTTGATAATATTTGTCTGATATTGATCTTTAATTTGATAATAACCTTTAATTGTTTGATATTGATTTTTAATTTAATAATGATCTTTTCTTTAATTTGATAATGATTTTCAATTGTTTGATAAGGATCTTTATTTCAATAACGTTATTTAATTGTTTGACATTCATCTTTAATTTGATAATGATCTTTGTTTGGTAATGATCTTTGATTTAATAATGTTATTTAATTGTTTGATATTGATCTTTAATTTGATGATGATCTTTAATTTGATAATGATATTTGATTGTTTGATATTGATCTTTAATAATTTGATAATGATCTTTTTTTGATATTGATCTTTAAATTGATAATTATTTTTAATTGCTTGACAATGATCTTTAATTTGATAATTATTTTATTTGTTTGATTATGATCTTTAATTGTTTAATATTGATCTTTATTTGTTTGATATTGATCTTCAATAATTTGATAATGATCTTTCTTTGATATTGATCTTTAAATTAATAATGGCTTTTAATTGCTTGGCAATGATCGGTTGAACGGCTGAACTCTCTGCCTTCGGGCGGGGAGGAACCCGAACGAGGCTACGCCGAAGGGCGGAGTCTCGTTCGGGGAGGTAAACCGAACTTGAACCCGTTTATATGGGTTCAAAGGGTATATTTTTGGCCGAGTCAACAGGCTCGGAGATCCCACGTTAAACCGGCCTTGTGCCACATGATACCCTCGTGGGGTGGGGGTGACTAAATACTAGTCGATGTCGAACGACCCGCTGAACGGTTGAACTCTCTGCCTTCAGGCGGGGAGGAATCAGAACGAGGCTATGCCGAAGGGCAGAGTCTCGTTCGGGGAAGTAAACCGACCTTGAACCCGTTTATACGGGTTTAAAGGGTATATTTTTGGTCGAGCCCATGGGCTCGGAGATCCTACGTTAAACCGGCCTTGTGCCACATGATACACTCGTAGGGGGGGTGACTAAATACTAGTCGATGTCGGACGATAGTAGTCGACAGTTAGTCGAATACGTAAGTAGTCAGCGACCACAACAAGATTACTCTGCGTCATTACCTATTATATCAAGTCCCTAACGTTTTGTACGTCGAACCTATTTTAGGACCGATTTAGTACAAATACAAGCCTCCACTGCGAAATAACTCCACAACAGAAGGGATGATTATGAGGATAAGTAGGATAGATAAGGATTGACCTTTGACTTGAAGGGTTAAGTCTGTAGTGTAGGGGGTTACTGTTAAAATGGTTATGATGAATGAGGTGTGTGATATGAATGTAAGAGAAAGTGGTAGGAAGTGAAAATTATGAGGATAAGAAGGATAGATAACGACTGAACCTTAACTTAAGAGATTAAGATTCCATTGTTCAAGAAAGCACTCACGCAGGAGTCTGTTTCACAAAGTGACAGTTCTTGTGAAAAAGCTGACTGGGTTGAATTTACATCTATTATGTCAATTGTGTGTTTCGTATATGAATGAATGCTACAAAAAATTTAGTATCGTTTCTAATACCGTATGCTTTAAAAAGTATAAATAATAATGATAAACGCTTTGACTAAAATACATACCACTTCCAGAACTTTCTTGACGACTCCCAAATTGCGAGAATGTAGAACAAAATTTGGCCATTCCGAACTTCGTAGGGTTCTTAGCGTCTCATGAAGGGTACGTTCGTTTTTGGCAAGATGATGCAAAGATGGCAGAAATATAGGATTTACTTTGATTTTTGTTTCCCGAAGTTTCAAAATAGGAGAAAAATCATCTTTAAAAAAATAAACAAAAAGAGGAAAATATATTATTACGTAAAAAAAATGATTACTGCAGATAGACGATCTTTATATATGTTTTAATGGTTAGAATACCAATTTTACCATTGTAGACAATAAAAGACTTTAACATTTTTGGTAATCTATAAATTTAAGGAAGATGAATAATAATTGACTCCTTTTTGGTTTGATCTTAAAACATTTATGATGGTTCTGACTGAATTATTGCAAAACTCTATTGTCCTGGGTATGATGATAAACTCCATCCGGCAGCAAGGACTCTGATCGGGAGGTTTTGAGGAGCCTGAAACCACCTCTTAACTGCTGTTGTTCCCAATTTAACTCTGACCCGGGGTAGTAGCACCTGTTAGGGTCCCAGCTATGGGAAAACAGTGAACCCACAAACTGCTGTCAAAACACTATGAAAGTGGAGAAATACACTTTTATAGTGAAGGTGACAGCAATACATTTTCATAGTAACAAAATTACTAGCAATACATTTTGCAAAATTAGTAATGCTCCCCAAAAAATTAAATTTCGATATTAAATGACTCATAAGGAGTTGATGTGCCTTTAAACAAACAAATTCGCAGAAGTCTCTTCTGGTTTCTTTCTTTCTCTAGAGATATCTTCTGTCAGTTGAGAGCTGGCTAAGGACTCACCTGCAACGCGTCGTTATCAGCTTAATGAAGTGGATTTCTCAAATACCAGGTCAAACGATCCTGACAAAGTAGGTCACTGGGTAAAACCAGACACTGAGTTCTTGATGAATTACCTTTTTTAGACAAGAGCTGACAGGACAAAGAACGCTGTTCAGTACAAGACAGTGGCCCCTAGAGCAGAGAAACACAGAACTCACCGCGAAGGACAAGTAACTACCGCGCGCTACGCGAAAGGATAACACGCCCGTTAGAAGTTCGTCCCCTCAACTACCCTCATTTCTGGAAAAGGAGTTATTTTGTAAGCCACAAGCGTTTGACTGGAAGAAGCTGTATCCTAAGAATGAACCTTGTGTCTGGTCTAAGCGTCAGCGCTACATTTCCAATCAATTTTGATCTTCAAAAATTTAAATGAAATCTCGTTATCTTCTGTCTTCTTAATTCTTATTCTTTTATTGTTCTCCCTCTTTAATAGTTTTCTTTTGTTCTTACTTTCACACTAAGTAACTCCTTGCATTTTCGTGGCTTTATTGCATTGCTTGGGCGAAATGATTAAAAAAAATAGAGAGAACGGCTTTCTGGTTAGTCTTAAAGAAAATGGCAACAAAAAGAACACTTATACCCAGAATTAGGACAAGATTATTAATTCCTTGGACACATTTTGAGATTCTTGATAATTTCCAAAGAAGAATCTGCAATGCTATCGATCCTGATCTGGTAATTGTTCTGCTGAACTTTCTTTCTTGGTATCTAGACTTTATGAATTTAAGCGTACAACCACATCGGCAGCAAGGTCTCATTTAATAGTTGAAATGTATAGATGCAACCGTAAGTTCTATGTTAATGGTTTCTTCTCCCGCATTTCTCACTTTATTGCTTTGCTTGAGGTGAAAAAAAAAATTAGAAAATTGTCTTTCATATAAAAGAGTTTTAATATTGGGGATACAATTTTTACCATTGTGGATCATAAGAGGTTTTATCATTTTCGTTCATCCATACTTTAGCTGTCCTATGAGTCGCTCGTAAATCTAAGTAGATTTTTTATCACATACGAGAAAAAAAACCCTAAAAACATAGCATGACATGTCTTGGGTAATATAAGTGGATTTTATACATATACATTCTATTTTTGAAAGATTTTCTTTGGTTTTATCATAGCAATTCAATCATGATAAACTCTGAGCTTTATCCCGTAGATTCAATAATTTATCCCGCCCGAATAAATGCAATAGACGCCCGAGAAAAGCTGGACTGTACAGCGACTGTCATGTCAAAAATCACGTAAACCATCAGGGACACAAACATGTATTGCAAAACAATGCTAGTAACGTTACATCCATGCACACACAAACATTTTTAATCGAGTTCAATCCCATGCAAGGGCAGTAAAACCAAAAGACACAAGGATTTCCTGAGTGTAGAAAAGTTAAAAACATTCCTAAGGTGCGAGAACAGAAGAAAAGTAATCACGGCGACAGGAGATATAGCTATATTCTCGACTTCTACTTCTTATGGATGGGAGTTGTAATAAAAAGCAAGAGAAATGAAGCTGAAAAAATTATTGTGAAAAATGAATAATAATTGACAATGCTTCATCTAAGAAGGCTAACCAGCAGGAGTCATTCAAATTTAGCCATATAGCTATATTCTCTACTTCTACTTCTTATGGATGAGAGTTGCAATAAAAAGCAAGAGAAATGAAGATGAAAGAAATACTAGTGAAAAATAAATAATAATTGACAATGCTTCATCTAAGAAGGCTAACCAGCAGGACACATTCAAATTTAGCCATATAGCTATATTATCTACTTCTACTTCTTATGGATGGGAATTTCAATAAAAATCAATAAAAATACTTGTGTATAATACAACCCACTTTTTTTGCTTTTAATTTTCGTTCAAAATTTCCCGGATTATGCACAACATATACGGTATATATATATATATATATATATATATATATATATATACCATCCCAGTTACATGGGCTTGTGTTCATGGAGATAATCTCCCACCCCTAAATATGCATTTCACGTATCAAATCTAAAATGATACATACTGTCAGATAAAAAGACGACTTTACTCCAATGAAGTTTGTCCATGAGTTGAGCAACAGCCCATGTAAATCCCGATGGATCAGGCCAGAGAACTCTGATTCGTGTTTTGTCTGCCGACTTACGGACAGTGGCCAAAGAGGTGGTCAAGTAGTGACTCTGGCTGGTGATGATATAATTCGGTGAAGTAAAATGGTCGATGTAAGGTCCAATCGCCACGGAGACATCACCATCTTGAAAAGTTTCCTGGGCTGTGGATGGAAGAAGTAAGAAAATTAATACAAAGAGGTTTCCATATACCCATACATTTGTTGTGAGGGGTCCTGTTGATGCGTTGACCTTGTCTGAATATAATTTTTTTTGCATGTGTATTTTTTTGGAGGGGTTACGGGATTATAAAATTACAAACAAAATCATATAAGACATACAGCGAAATAAGCATAGACAAAAACGATAAAGGCTTTAGTATACATTTCAGAGAAATTATTGTATATGTTTAAAGAATATATATATATATATATATATATATACAAAAAGAAAGAAATTTTGATTATCTGTTGGCGGCAGCATGTTTTATCAGATTCCAGGATATCTGCCTCCACTGGTCATCAAAAAACGAAAAGAGAAAGTTTTGATTTTTGTTTCAATTTTCGGTAAAACGCTTGTTCTGGTGCATCATGGGAGTACTCTGTATTTATTTAACTATTTTTATTGTATAATTTTTCTTTCTTTATTGTTAATTACCATTTTCATCTATATTTTGAAATATTTTTTATTGCTTATCTTCTAATTTTTCTTTTATTATTAATAATTATTTATTTTGGTTCCAGACTACCATATATTCTAGTAATAGGTTAGATGTTAATTATTAATTTATTTGTTATTATGACGATACATAAATGCTGACCTACTTTTGTGATGTCAACGAACACTCGTTGCCATTTTTGTAATGTCAACGAATACTCGTTGTCACTTTCGTAATGCTCGTTGTAGTAGAGACTTTGTAATCGCAGATACAACTATAGTACGCCGACTAGCTGAAACCTTTTCCAGCTGTACTGTCGAACTTTCTGCTTTCGGCAGAGAGGAACCTGGACGAGGCTATTCCGAAGGGCAGAGTTTCGTTCGGGGAAGTAGACCGACCCAATACCGTTTATGCGTGGTCTACAGAGTTTTTTGGTCGATCCTACCGGCTCGGGAACTCCACATTAAATTTGACCTTGTGCCACATGTGACTGCGTGGGGCGGTTGCTAGATGACAATAAAGATGATGACAACAGTCCAAACAATGTAAATAGTGTAAATAGTTACAATACCTCATCTCAGAAATACAGACATATCCTGAAGAAGACCGGATCGTACAACGGCCGAAACGTCGTGAATATGACAATAAAGATGATGACAACAGTCTAAAGAATGTAAATAGTGTAAATTATTCTCATCTTATGTCAGATCAAACAACAAGAGCTACTAGTACCCTATAACGCAGTACAACGTGTCACATGGACGGGTCATCGGTGACTAAACCGGTTCCCCCATCAGGCTTTTCTGGTGAGTAGAGTGGGTACACATCAGCAGAATTAAGAACAAGATCTCTCAAAAGGAGGATGGACTTTCTTAACGGGTCAACGGCCATCTAGAACAACAGGGTTGTCTGAGCTCCGTATTTATGTAGGAATTGCGGTGATAATACGACATCGCTGGGAGGGTGAAGGGATTCCTAGACTGAAGTCAACGGCAAGGGACTATATGTTTCCCGATATAATCAACGGTCACATGCCAATGATTAAGAGGAGCTTTCAAGTTCGAAGATATCGGCTGTGATTTGATCTGGAGGAGGAGGTCACCGCCAGGTCTCTTTGCTGTACATTGATTTCTCGGTGTTCAACCCATATATTTGGTTTGTTTTGGTGATCAGATGTGACGCGACCCTACAACCACACCTGGTTACTGAACTAATGATGATGATGATGATGATATTACTATGATATGATATATGATATGATATGAGATATATGATATGAAATATGATATATGATATATGACATGATATATGATATGATATATGACATTATATATGATATATGAAATGATATGAGATATATGATATATGATATGATATGAGATTTATGATATATGACATGATATGATATATGATATGATATATGATATGATATATGACATATGTGATATGATATGTGATATATGATATGATTGAAATGATATGAGATATATGATAAGATATATATGATATGATATGATATGAGATATGATATATGGTATATGAGATATGATATGATATATGAGATATATGATATGAGATATGATACGATACGATATAAATATATGATATATATGATATGATATATTTTATGATATATGATATGATATTACTACGTTACTCACTACTTACTGTCTTCATTTTGGATCTACATTCATGAACAGACAAATCCAGTAAAAATTCATATGAAAATTTTACAGGAACAACTTACCGTGAATCATGCTCTTTCTAAATAGACTTGGTTCGGAGAGGTCAAATTCAACCGGAATATATTCTATGGTGCACGTCGGGAAGTGTTTCTTCATTTCTTCGTCTTCCAGCAGAATTCGGGTGATGTTTTGGAACAGCTCAACTTTGACCTGTCCTTTCATACCAACCAAACCTAAAATTGAAATAATATATATATATATATATATATATATATATATATATATATATATATATATATATGTATGTATGTATGTGTGTGTGTGTGTGTGTGTGTGTGTGTGTGTAAAATGAGAATAGAGAGTCCAATTCCGATTACAGATGGAGGGTGATTGGAATTGTGGTGAATATAGATTGGGTTGACATTATTTTTCATATAAGCCTGAAAATTGTCATTAACTAGATCTATAGATCTAACGTGACATCGCGAAAATTTGTTTAATATTGCTGCTTATTTTAACTTTAGGTAGTCATTATTTTCGAAACTTGATTTCATTTGTGTAGCGTTTTTTACATGTTTTTGATGTAATATCCTAAAATAAATATATATATATATATATATATATATATATATATATATAGGAAGAAAATGAATATCTACTGGCACCGAGGTTCGGTCGTGAAACTCTAGACTTTTTTTAGGCTTTTCACCCCAAGCAAGGCGGGAGTTCCACTAGCACTCAAGCGGTTACAGGAGTTTGAGCGAGAGTAAAGAGGTATGATAAAGGAAAGGATGAAGAGAAGGACGGGGATTAGATCAAGACATTTGGAGATGTCGATTGACATTGCATCTGAATAACTGAAGATTATAATGATCAGAGAAGCAAGTAAAAGGAAGGGAGTTCCACAGATAGGAAGTGCGAGACATGAAGCTATTGGTGTAGAAGAGACGGCTACATCTGACCGTTTCGATAGTGAAAGGGTGGGACTGAGATGCAAACCTAGTAGGACGATTAAGTTCATGCAGTTTGGGAACAAGCGAAAGTAGCTCGTCGGAGCAGTTACCGTGAAAGTATTTGTAGAAAAGACAGAAGGAGACGACGGCACGTCTGTGAGAGAGCGACTGTATACGAGATGCCAAATCAGAACCAACCACATTGCATATCCGTCTCTGGATTTTGTCGAACAGCGGGGTTTCCAGACCATATATGGCAGTAGTATTCCATGCAAGGGCGAAAGTTTGATTTATAGATTTGAAGAATGGAGTCGGGCAAGAAAAACTTTCTGGCGCGACACAGAGAACCAGCTTTCCTTGCGGTAGATGAAGCTATTGATTCAATGTAATTGTTTCATGTCAGGTCAGCAGACAGTGTGAGACCAAGCAGTCGCAAAGAGGAGCTCTCGTGGAGTTAAACATCAGACGTTCTAATGGGAAGCAGGGATAGTACTCTGTGGTGAGTAATAGAAATCAGTTTTGTTTTTGAGGCATTAAAGTTAACCAGCCACTTCCTGCACCAGTCAACAACCTATTATGAATACATGTTTCCCGACAGTTGTATAAATAGTAGTGTCAGGCTACTGACTGGAGTGATTATTAAGTGACTACTGAGTGGAACTATCCAGTCGAATTAGTGTGAATTATTGCGCGTCGATTATTTGGGTTTTGATTTAGGATTTTACGAACGTTAAGACGACCCGCGTTGCTAAAAGGTATTTACTGAAATAGGTAATTATCTTTGGTTGAATTTTACTTCTTTGTTTTTGTTAAGTATTTATTTGCGGTTGCACTTAAATACTAATTTATCTAAGCATTGAAGTCTTAATCATTAATGGCCACTGTACATCACAAAAAGGACTAATACAAATATAAAATTTATTACTTAGCTGGTTGATGTTATATCCAGAGATTCGTAAACAAATATTTTTGTAATTGTTCGGTCCATTCGTCAGGAGGGTTCATCAGTTGACCCCTGGATTTTCTCATTTTCGTTATTTTTATACGAAGTTAAAAATAATTTATGGGCAATTTATTGGTGTTTGGTTGATTTTTTTCTTTTTTGTATGCGTGTTTGTATGTCTGTGTGTGTGTGTGTGTGTGTGTGTGTGTGTGTGTGTGTGTGTGCAGAATGTTGTGGCTATTTTTCCTTTTCATCTTTGTCTTGTCTCTTTTCGTCTCTCCGTATTCCATTTCTTTCTTTTTTCTTCTCTTTTGGCACTGAGTGTCAAAGATAATATAACAATATCATTTCCGGTATCACAAACAGGCCTCTTAGAGGTTTTAGTATAATTTGTTTTCTAGAATATTCTGGAGTTGTCTGAAGTTTGGGAAATATAGGTGTAGTCCGTTTATTTTATTTTAGAGAGATGAAGAGAGGGAGAGAGAGAATTCATACAAGTAAAAGTGTTGTCACTTAGCTGATTGATGTTACCTCCAGAGTTTCGTAGACGGACCCTTCGGGAATCACACCGTCCACTCGTCAGTGAGTATCAGAAATTTATAATGTAACAATGCTAGCTATTCATACTAGCAAATAATACAGATATATAAGGTCGGTTTTTTCAGTTGACACCGCAATTTTTTTAAATACCTTCACTCCTCAGTAATGTTTATTGTTTTAAAAAGCGATGATTGGAATTTTAATAAAACCTAAATATATAATGAAAATGAATTCATACTTTCTCCTTGTTCTTGAGGATTCAAAACAAAACTAATAAATACTATTTATTAATTAGATTGTTTACCATTTTATAAAGTTCGAATCAATTGTCAATTAGCCTATGTTTTGCCAACCATTCTTATAAACTAATAAATAAATAGAGTGGCTCTTCGGCCTTGTACTGGGTGAACATTAGCACATATATATATATATATATATATATATATATATATATATATATGCGCAATAATAAATAATCAACAACAATAATAATAAATAAATGCAATAATAATTAACAACAAATAATAATAATGAGTAAAAAGTTAACAAGCAACATTATGAAACATCTGCACATAACCGCATTTGGATCCCCAATTATTTCTACCGAAGAGCATCTAGAATAATTTGAAACACAGCCATTGCCGCCCATCCAATAACCGTTAGAATAATAGAACAGACCTTGCTACCCATAATGCACCATTAACCAGTATATATGAATAGTCGAGCCAAAACACAACAGACATGGCCTGAAGATTGCGTTTAAGCATTAAACAGACTGTCGCCGCTGGGTCTTGACCTCAATATTCGCTCATATATATATATATATATATATATATATAAATCGATTCTCCCGTCCGGTTCGACGTATGAGGGTCAAGCAGATCAGTTTCCAGGAAACTGACAGCCCGACACCAGCACATGAGATTCGATTAAAGTGGTGAAGGTTTCGTGCAGGACCATCCACACTTTTTGAAGGAACGAATACAAAGACCTGGTGCACTGCGTGCCACAAGGTCCCCAAACAACCCCACCTCAGGTTTTGAATTCAGAGTTGTCCTTCTCCTAGACCAGTTGCCATCCAAGGCTATAGAAACCAGTCTGTCCTGCTATTTAACCCATAGCTGGAAGGAGAAGAATAAGATTCACACCTTTCCCAAGGATATTAGCACGCAAGTGAATGTAATGAATTCAACCTGGATTCGAACTCGGCTCTGCGATTCCACCGTGCCTCCTATATATATATATATATATATATATATATATATATATATATATATATATATATATATATATACACAAATGTAAAGAGAACGAAAAGAATATAAATTGAAACGTTCATAACATTAATTTAAAAATACCAACAGTAGAGCAATATTTATTTACTATAAGTTGTTACATACAAACAAACAAGTAATTACTACAAAGATGCATATTTGTTTCGATGTCTAATATAAACATCTCATCAGGTGGTGAACAAAGGTTATAAACGATTTTATTTAGAAATGCTACTTATGAAACATCACTTCTTTTTACATTATTTAAAATTTAGGAAGGCATAAGAATTTCCATCATACCAACTGTTCCAACGGGCCTCAGTGATGAAGAGGTTGGTATGACGTATCTGTCTGGGTTTCAATTCTTGGTAGTGGATGCGCCCTGCTGATGAGTTCCAAATATAGGACGAAACAGCCGTCCAGGACTTTCTGCATTCTGTTGAGGCTTCTTCTAGACTCAATGAATTACTTAATTATAATTCTCAAATCCTCCTAATTTCTATCACACACACATATATATCTCCAAATATAATGAGAATGATAATATAAATTTAAACGTTCATAGCATTAATTTAAAAAGAGGGCTCAATACCAAAAGTAGAGCAATATTTATTTACTATAAGTTGTTACATACGAACAAACAAGTAATTACTACAAAGATGCATATTTGTTTCGATGCCTAATATAAACATCTCATCAGGTGGTGAACAGAGGTTATAAATGATTTTATTTAAAAATGCTACTTATGAAACATCACTTCTTTTTACATTATTTAAAAATTTAATTAGACATAAGAAGAATTAGCATATATATTTCTTAGTTTTCCTTTTATGTTGTTTCTTCTTATAATGATTATTAAAATGTGAAAATGGATTAAATCCGAAAAATATCTAATATATTTTTTGCTTATACGTTATTTTTTATTTATTTAAGTAAACCGTATAAATTACTGTTACCAGATCAAATGTTCAAGAAATTTCGTAGAAAATATGCGTCCTCCGACAAGAACCGAACCTGCATCCTATTAACCATTAAACTTGGCGTGCATATAAACGTTCTGCATTTCCGGTTAAGCAAAGTTTGAGTTAATGCTTTTAAACAGACACTTTCGCCGATCTTTCTCAATCTATCCTATCTGATCTGTATTTGTATCCTAACCTATACAATGGCAATATATCATAGGAAATAGATTAAATACGACAACTGAACACTTTAAACTATCAATATAGCATATCTTTAAAGTATATTTCTATCATATATATATATATATATATATATATATATATATATATATATATATATATATATATATATATAAACTAATGAGCCAGAACTTACCTACCAAGATTTCACCTAACGGATCTTCAGGGTAGTAGTGGTAGTAGTGAAACCTTGAGAGGTACTTTCTGGCTCACTAGTTTTTTGTTTTTTTTTAGATTTTGCTCTAATTAGTGTATTGAGCACTTTTAGGCTTTTACTTAATTTACTCTGTTGGTGTTTTTTCTCTTGACCGGGCATTGCAG